GTGTTGCCGGTGGCACATTTTATAGTAGAAAAAAGAAAAAAAATCGAAAATTTTGCACTACGTTGGGAAAAACTAGGTGTTGCCGGTGCCACCGTTGGCACCATACTAGATCCGTCATTGGGTTGTTTATATAATTACAATTTTCTCCTTTTTAAGGGGTAACTAGGGAACACAACATCTTATATTACCTTTTTCATTTAACCACAAAAACTAGTTATAAAATTTGTAACAATCATTTCATAACTAAGGCATTAGATGCCACTATGTAATATTCAATTTTTAAAGAATTCTATTATCAATGAAACATTTAGCAACAATATATTTTTACAGTAAACATATAACCATAATATCTTTTAGAATTAACTTTTGAATTTCAAACATCAACATTCTTTGAGAATATCATTCTTAATCCACAATTTTGGTAAAAAAAAAATCGATTTGACATAACATGTAATGTAAAAAAAAAATTACCTTGTTTCGAATCAAGAATAAAATTATCCCTCCTTGATGCTCTTACTGATTTCTGGACTCCGGATAAATATATTAATAGCAAAATTGAATTTACATTATAGGAGCTCTTGACAAATGTTAATTCTTATTTGTGATTAAACAAAATAAGAATCTAAAAATAAAAATATTTTAAATTTAAAAAGCTTCCTATATACCTACATCACGATTTATTTTCTTATGAACATTACTTCATGGATTCTAATATTTTGTGTCAACGACAATTACAAGGGATAAATCCCTAACAATTGCTTTAAGTAAAAATTTAGTTATTAAAATAGCAAAAGAGCAACAATCTGATAAGCGATAAGCGCAAGAACATGAAGAAAAGTTCAAATTAAAAAAAAAATTGTATTTGAAGATGACGATGTAAATGTAAGTTTCTAATTTAAAAAGAAAATTGGAGAACAAAGTAGAAGGAAACAGAAGTTCGAATAAAAGAAGGAAGTAAAAAAACTTACCTGCTAACCATTAATATTAATCTGTTGATGATGTAGATGAAGATCTATCGTCGGATAAGATTACAAACACCAAAGAAGCAACGCCGGAGAAGATCAAAACGCGTCGTCTTTTTTTTTTTTTTTTGTGTGTGTGTGTGTGTTCTAGCGTTGTAGAAATGGAGGAAGAGAGAGTATATGAGCTACCGGTAGAAAGATGTTGATAAAGATTGCAAGATTTGAATATTTCATTCCATAAATTTAGCTTTTAATTTTTGGTTATATAATTAATTAATCAAATAAGATTACAATAATGCCCCTATCAAATGATTAGTCCAGAATTGATTATACATTCACCCAATAATATATAGAGTTTATATATTGTGTGAAACATTGGGGCGTGCTCTCAATATAAATACATATTACAGTTTTCAAGTTTAAAGGAAACGGCTACTGGCTACCGGCTAATTCAAGTCCAATGACAGATCTAGTATGGTGCCAACGGTGGCACCGGCAACACCTAGTTTTTCCCGTCATAGTGCAAAATTTTTGATTTTTTTTCTTTTTTCTATTATAAAATGTGCCACCGGCAACACCTACTATGGATCGGCAACACCTATTACGGACCGGGCAACACCTACTACAGAATCCTGCGTCCGTCCCTGTTCAAGTCGGGTTCATTCTGTTTACTCACGTTCTAAACTGGATTTAGTCATAAAAATTTAGATTTTACATAACGAGCCGGTATTTTGCTGGTTAATTCTGGTTTTAATTACTTGGTTCAATAACAAGTGGTTTCTGGTTTTAATTACTTGGTTCAATAACAAGTGGTTTTTGGGTATAATAAAACTGGTATCAAGGCTGGTTTTCAAAACCATGATTTAGACGCATTTAATGGTATCAGTTGTATGTTAAGTTGTTTTATTACAGAGGATTAGAAGATGAGAATGTTTAACCAACAAGCAAGTCTATGCTCTTTTTGAAATTCATGAAGCCAGCTGATCTCATGAAACAAAGGAGAACATGCCCCCAAAATAAACCAATATGGTGACTTTATAATATACATCAGATTAAGAATTAATTTGAAGAAAGAATAAACATAGTAAAAGTAAGTAACTGCAATATTAAAAAGGGTAACGAAAAGGACAATCAGTCGCAAAATCTTGCAATCCATCCATGTTTACTAACAGATGATTATCCCAAAAAAGGAAGTTTTGATGAGATAGAATATTAATATTATTTGGTTGCAGTTTGCCTGCCATCTGGAATAGCAAAGAGAACAATGGGGCTTTGAAGGCCTTTCCTCTCCAACTGCAATATGTCTCCACGCTTCAGTCTTCTCATATTTGAATCCCCAACACCCCCAATCTCTTTCTTTGTATCCCTCTTCACCACATCAACAAAATCCTCTTTTTCTTCCACCTGCATCAAAAACACACAATTAATTATATAAGTATAACTTCCATAACTACAGACTTAAGTCTATAAATATCGACACTTAAGTCTATATTTTACTTCACTCAAATCTTTTCCTATAAATATCGACACTTAAGTCTATAATAAACATAACTCAAAGTAAGAGGAGTAAATATAAATTAAAGATGTGTAAAAATAAGAAAACATATGTTGCTCTGTTGAATGCTTGAACCCGCTCCCTAATATAACAATAATTGCTTGCAAAACTGAAAAAATGTTTTCAATCTCAAAATATTGAAAAAATAATAGCTTCAATACACCATCAACATCAACATTTACATGCTCTTTGCAAAATAAATACTAAAAATAAAAACATATTATGAATTTATAATTATTACAAGATACTTTACTATTGAACACAAAATTAATTCTAACAACAAAAATAAAATAAAGATACATTTGTTGACTATGATATATGATTTTATTAATTAATTAATGTTGGATTTTCATTTTTACCTGCTGAATAAAATTTGTGTGTAGCTAAGAAGTGATAAAGTTTCATAGTTACCTACAATAAGCTAAACCTTTTGTAGCTTCCTCAAATGAAGAAGTATTGCTTTTTAATTTCCATTTCTTATTATGGTTTCCTGCCCTCCACCTGCTCCAGGCTCTCTTCTTCTCCTCAGAATCGTCGACCTCCACCAACTCCTACCGTAGATTTGTGTAAATGAAGGTACTGATTCAATCCCACCGCCTCTCTTATCAGATATCTTCCGTTTCCGACTCCACTCCACCGTCTTCCTTTTTATCTCCCACCGCTTCTTCATCTCCATCCTTCTACAGGGTTTCTCTTAGCAGATCCTCTATTCGCACACCGATGAGGAGCACGAACGCAACAGATCAGGGAGGTGGGGAGGATGGTTCGATGGTGGCAAATCTGTTGAGTAGGGGAGTAGTTGACCCCCGGTGGCCCCTTTGTGGTGTAGTCTTCGTCTGGTAGAGAGAGGGAAAAAGAGAAACACGAATGGAAATAGATAACGGGCTGGATTGGGAAATCTCCACCGGCTCTTAGCTTGATCGGAGAAGGACGAAGGCTTCAGCAGGAGCTGTCGTCAACTGTGATGGAAGAAAAGGGCTGCTCCGGTAGCGGATCGCGAAGGGGAGGAGGGAAAAACTGTTGGTCTTGTGGTGGTTCTGTGATGTTCAATCGAAGAAGAAGAAAACAAAATCAGCAACAGTAAAGGTTGGATGGAGGCTCGCCACATCCGGTTAGTTCATCGGTCCTTCTTCTTCTCCACTTCGTGGTGTTAGATGACGCAAAGATGAATAGATGTAGATGGTGAACGTCTTAACGAACCCTAATTCAAGGTAATTTCTTTATCCATTTTCATTTTTCTTTTCTGAAAATTATGGAATTCGACTTCATTGTTTCTTGTTTCTTTGTCTTTATTATTGGTAAGATTCACTTCCTGTGAAGATTAAATTCTCAGCCACAGATGATTGCAACTATATCTCATTAATGTGAGTATTCAATTAATTCACTTAAGGTAATTGAATTTATATATATTATTATTTTGGGTACGGTTTTTACTTTCTCAGGTTTCTTTTCATAGCAGATCGACAGTTCCTTCGATTTAGGGTTTTATTGAAGTTTAATTATGTTGAACACAATTTCGGGTATGTGTTCTATCCATAACCGATTCTTTGTTTTCATTTGATTTCAATTAAACAATGACATTCATGAAATTCATCTTATGGGTTTTAAAATTCATTTTGATTGATAAATCAACAGGTTAGCACAAACAATCATCAATTTGTTAAAAGTCAAGATTGTTACTCATTTTTTCTGTGGATAAAACCAGGTGCAAGGAAGTTGATGAATTCACAGTTATGGCACGACTGTGAGCAAGTAAGCTTCTTTCACGGTATCTTTGTAAAGAAAAAATTACAAGTGATTCTATCCATTAATAGAATTCTTACTTTTTTTACTGTTTCATTCAAGCTTGCAGCATGATGTGAACCTGATGAAGTTTTTCATGAAGCTCACAATCCATGTTTCCCATGGTAGGAACTAAAAGCCGGGAACAAGAGAAAAAATCAGGAAAAAAATATGAGAAAAAAATAGATGGTGGGTGGGTAAAAACAGGAAGACCCTTTTCTGATTGGAATCTCACTTAAAAGCTTTAGAACCCGGGTAAAAACACTAGGCATGTTTACAATATGTTGATTTTGATTTTTTTTTCTGCTTTTACATATTGAATTGTTAATAACATTTGGCATCATCCTTGCAGGTAAATGTATTTTATTTGGATAGAGTGGTGTGATAAAAGTATCATCATCATATTGAAAGAACTAGCGAGGTACATTCGATTACTTTCACTTCTTGATCTTCATATTTTAAAATTTTATCTTAATTTTTAAATGGAATATTGGTTTTGTTCTTATAAAAGCTGACTGTACATGTATATGTTGCTATTTGGTTCAGTTCGCCCAAGCAGAAATTGGTCAATTCTTTTATGCTCCAAAGTCCAAAAGTAAAGACCATAAAGGAGTTGCGACCGGTATGGACATGACAGAGGATAAATGAGGTAAAGACCATAAAGGAGTCCAAAAGCATTCTAAATTTTTTTAAATTATTCATAAATTATAATCACTAATTGAATCAACCTGATGGTTGATAGTTGCAACAATTAATTGCAGGAAGGATTTCAGCTGTATTCCTTATCTTTTTACCGATATTTCTTCTATCTTCCACCACCATCCATATCTCTCACTACCTCTCTCCACCGCCTATGGTTTTAAGTTTAAACTGGGGTTAGATGGTCAACCTCTACCTTCTGCTTCCTTCTAAACTTCTTACGCTCCTCCAAAGTCCAAACCACCGCCTTTACCAGATTATCTGCTTCTGATTCTGATAGAGAACAAATAATCCACTCATCCTTCTTCCTTACGTCGACTCTGCTTCTTTCCCGTTCTCCTCAACCGTGGTAACCGCCCCCACCTCATCCGGAATAACCCACCGCCTCATCTCGATTCTTCCAGATTATCCTTTTGTTAACTCGCTCCCTGCAGTCTCCGGGAACCCTAAATTCATCTCTACCGGAACCGGCGTCCGCCACCCGTACGATTCCTTATCTGTCTTTCCGTATTTCTCCAACTGTGTACGTCTTCTCTCCATGTGCCTCTTCACTAATTTGGGATATCTCCTTTTGTGTCTTCTATTTACACGGATTGCTTACTTCCCGACCCTCAAATAAACGTGGGGTCGTCGATTTCCGTCAAATGACCCGGCCTCCCCTGGCTCTTCCACCGTCGGGCTCCCTTTCCTCCCTATGCTCCCCCGGCGCAGGCCTACCACGCTTCGCATGTTTATTTCAAAGGTTAGGGTTTACAGTTATGTTGATCTGCTTTGTAGGGGGAGATGATGATGATGTCAACATGCTATTTGATGGGATTTCATCTGTATTTGATTCTTTGGAATCTAAAGAAAGTTCAAATACAGACATGGAAGAAGAAGCTTATGAGGCAATTATTAAAAAAGAATCAAGGAAGAAACGCAAGAACTCTGAGCAAAAGGTGAATGTATTTTGATGTTGTGTGGTGCAGCCAAATCAAATTTTGTGAAGCTGAGCTGTGAAAAACTTCGACTTTTTTTTTCAGGTTACCCACATTGATTGTAGCTAATGTTAGCATAAAGAAAACTGCCTATATCCAGTTGCTTCCCATCAATGTATGCTTATTTCCTGTATAGTTTATAAAACTATTTATTTTGTCGATGCAGAAGCAGTTCATGGAGCTGCTACTGTTGCTGAAGCTGAAGGTGGAAACAAAATCGAAGCGTCTCAGGAACAAAGACTAAAAGTTGTTTTTTACATTGAAACAGTTTGACACCAAACATCGTACATTATTAACCGGAACCCCTCTCCAGGTTTGTTATAGTGTTTAAGTGTATAATGTACTTTACTTTTTTTTTTATATATATTTAATCTGAATTGAAGATGACTTTCAGAACAACTTGGATGACCTTTTCATGCTCATACATTTCCTTGATGCTTTGCTGGGAAGGTTTGTATTATTGCAACCCCTTACCATAAGCTATGTCTAATATTATATAAGGAAAAGTAGACAATCCTTAAACATCATCTTCTGTTACTATAATATTTATGCACTTTGCAAGTTTGGAGGAGTTTTAAGAAGAGTTTAAGGATATAAATATAAAAGAGCAACTTTGAAGGATCCATAAGAGTTTAACCTCCCATCTTCTAAAGGGTGTTGGAGATGGAGAGTTAATAAGGTAAAAAAAAATAAGTGGTTATTTTTGTTTTCGTTCTTATAAAAATATAAGCTTTTCTTAATTTTCTTAATTTTATGGAATTAGCTTCAACAACCATGTCATGCTGGTTCATTTTCTTAATTTTATTTCTATTGGTTTTGCAGGTTCTTGAACATAGACCTCATCCCCCAATCTACAGACTACAAGTATCCCCTTAATTGTGATTTCTTCCTGTAAGTACCAACTCTAATCTTTAAATATGTTAAGTGTGCAGGTACCATACCTATTTATTACATTTAGTCCAATAATGAGCTAAGTGCAAGATATAAAAATATAATTCTCTAATCTTTTCCAATACATGGACCAATTTTGTAATGTTTTTCTACAGAAGGACCAATTATGTAAACATTTTCTGCAGCAAAAGACCATTTTGTTATGTTTTTATGCCACAGAGAGAAATTCGGTTATGTTTCTCTACCACAGTTGTCATTTGTGTGATATTTTTGTGTACATGGACTATTTCTGTAATATTTTTATGTAAACAGACAATTTTTGTAATATTTTTCTACAAACGGACCATTTTGATAATGTTTTTTTTATCATAGGAACCAACTCTGTAATTTTTTTTTCAAAAGTGACCATTATATAAAATAATTCTTCCACAAGGACCAATTAAGTAATCACTTTCTTCTTACATTTCCATCATCCGATTGATGGCAAATTACAAAGAATAGCAACATACTTTAATTTGGATACCAATTTATGCAACGTACTTCCTTATTTGTCTCAGAAAACAAACACATTCTGCCCCGCGCAACGCGCGGGTAACCCCTCTAGTTTATATTAAAAGAAAAAAAGTAAAATCCTATTCTAATACCAAAATTAAAAAACAACCGTCTATAATCAAAAGTCTTTTTATAATACCCCTGTTCAATCATTCCTCTACTCTAATAAAAGACTACAACTATTAACACGTGGCATTTCCTGCACCCAAGTCAATCTATTTTTCCCGCCTATTTTGCAAAGTGATGTTCCAAAATTGCCCTTATAGTCATTTATCATTACTTGTCTTGTCTGTGTATCTCATTCCGTTTTTTTTAGGAATTTAATGAAAGAAATAAATGGTGATTCAAACGATATTTCGAAGTTAAAAGATCAAATCATATTCTACCTTGGTTTCCCTAAAAATCTGCATACAAATCTTTAAATTAAATAGATAAATTAAAATCCCTTAACAAATGGATAGATAAATTACATTTAAAGAATTTATATCTTTATCTCTTTAGATCGGACCAATATATTACCTATTTTTTGGTAACTAGATAAAGATTATAACCGTATATAATCGTCACCAAATCGTTTATTGAATATTATATTTTTGTGATTTATTATTTTTTATTTCTTCCTTTTCAACTTTGTTTTTTCAATTTCATCACCGAATAAATCATTTCAGTTGGAATACCAGTTTTCCTGTTCCCGGAGTTTAATAGTTCAAGTCCGTATAATTATTTCCCCTTCATTATCCATTATCTTATCAGTGTAAATATAATCAACACTTTTATATCCCATATTATGAATTATGTTTTATATCAATGTCAATACAATCAACCTTTTATACTTGTGTGTTAGATAAATATTCTAGATTTTTTAAAAGGGTTAATAAAATAACAAGTAAACCTTCTTGGCTTGAGGTTGATGACCATCTTGATGGGTGGTTTGAGATGGTCTATACTGTTTCAGACCTTGATATTTGAGATGGCTATTGCTTATTTATTTATTTATTTATTTTTTTGTAACTATACCAATATACCATTCTACTTATTTTTTTGTATCGCATGTATGCATTTCTGTTGTCTTATTTAAAAAAAATCAATTTTAAAAAAAATCAATTTAAAAACAAAATCTATACATAGTCGAAGAAGTTGTACGAATTGGATGAAATGGTGAAGACGACTTGAAGTAAAAAAAAAATACATAAATACTTAAAAAAATACAGTTATATATTTAAAATACATAAACATCTATATAAATTTTTTAAAAAAAATACATATGAATACGTAATATATAAAAAAACACATTAAAATACAAAAAAATATGTAAAATACCTAAAAAATACATATAAATATGTAAAAAAATACGTTGATACATTTAAAATACATAAAAATATATAAACATCTATATAAAAAACTTAAAAAAAAATACATAAATACATAATACATAAAAAATAACACATAAAATAAATTAAATATATATATAAAAAAATACTTAAAATTGCATATAAATACGTTAAAAAATACGTCTATAAATTTAAAATATATAAACAATGTAAACATATACATATAAAAACTTACAAAAAGACATAAATACGTAAAAATATAAATAAATAAATAATACATAAAAAATAACACATAAAATTACATACAAAATGTGTAAAATACTTAAAAATATATATAAATATGTAAAAAATACGTTTATATATTTAAAATAAATAAAAATGCATAAACATATACATATAAAAACTTAAAAAATGCAAAAGTACATAAAAATAGATATAAATACGTAAAAAATACGTTTATAAGTTATATATAAGTTTTGACGAAATCTGCAAAAATATCTCATTATTTTGGAAAAATTAACGATTTAATCTTATGACCTACTGAACATGTCAAAAAGAGCTAAAACGAATAAATTAACCGATTTCTTAAGCATTTCTCTTCAAAAAAGTTAAAAAATCAGGAATTTTTTATTTAAAAAAAAATGTAAAATTTATTAATTTTTTTTTCAAAATATTAAAACTTTTCTATAGATTTACCAAAAGATTACTAATAATTAAATTAAAAATGTGAATTCTTTTTACTATGCCACTGTCGAAGAGACATGAGATCCACGTCCATTGATTCTTAAATTTGAGCACCCTCATTTTGACTTGGTTTGACTTAAAAAGTAGATGAATGTCAAATTAAAATATTTAACTATCTACTTCAAAAACACTCAACATGAGAGATGATCAGATGAGCAAGTTCTACTCGGATAGATAGATAGATCATTGAAAAATAACATTGTAAACTTCTACATAAACTGCTCGACAAATTGAATGTTTGAGCAAATGTTACATAATGTTTACCAAATAAATTATAACATTATTTTGATGAAAAAACGATATGAAGAAAGCTATAATAGTTCTTGAATCACCAGGGCTTCATCATACCAATCACGATGATCGGTGGCAACCCTTAGTCGATTTTTGTATTCATCTTCACATTCAAATGGCAACATGGGAGTTCGGCAAACTGGACAAGTGTATTTGGATTCATTCATCCATAAATCCAAACAACACTCATGAAAAATATGTGTACAGTTATTCAAACATCTAATCTTGTCATCTCTTGTAAACTCATTTAAGCAGACTGCACAGCTTGTTGGCAAATATTTCTTCTGAATGTTCTTGAAGTTTGTGACCACAAGGACTTCACGTGTCAATACTGCCGAGAGGAGAAGGCTTTTGGATGGTTTCTTATGATGGGCATGGTGAGATTCGATTTAATGAGAGATACCGATGAAGGGAAATAAGAATAGAACGATATTTTGAATAAAACATAGAAGAGAAAATACGTATAGAATATATTTTGAAAGCCCCGTTTCTTTGAAACCCATATAGAAACCCATCGATGTTCTTGTATGTGTAAGAAAAAGGAGGTATTAGACCTGCTTCTTTGTTCACTTCAACCATTCATATAGATGTATGTGTGTGTCTATGTTTGTTCACTTCTAATATTTAATTTGTTTTTATTTGATTGAAATTCTTTGGAAAATATATAAAGGCTAGATCTTGCTGCTATTCATATGAACTGTTCGTAGGAACTTGTAAAATATAAGCCAATTTGTTAGGAAAGATAGAAATGTGATTTCCTACATTATTTTTAGGGGTGGGCAAAAACCGAACCGCAAACCGAAAAAACCGAAAAAACATCATAAACCGAAACCGAAATAAAAATCGACGGTGCGGTTTTTAGTTTTGCAAAAACTGAAAATGTCCGGTGCGGTTTGGTTTCTAGTCTTGCAAAAACCCCAAAAAACCGAACCGCACCGAATATATATATATATATATATATATATATATATATATATATATATATATTAAGTATTGATATTTGTAATAACAGAGAACTCATGACAATTAAGAATCTATAAATATAAATATCTATCTTATCAGAAGATGACTGTATATTTTTAAGCATCCGTATAGTGATATTTACAAGAACAAATAATGTTTATTATATTTTTTAACATTTAAATATGAAGAATACTAATGATGATAGTATCATTTTATTAATACATTAATTGATATTATCGCCTTCATAAATATTATATTTAATTCGTATTATATTCAAGCATTAGAAGATGTTGGATGAGTGGTTATGTTCTTTGATTTCAAACCAAGAGGTGGTGGTATCAGTTCATCTCCAATATATCATTTGGGTTTTAATTTTGTCAGCCTTTTAAGAGTATCCCTCATCGTCTTTGAGATAAAACCTTCATCATTCTCATGTTTCATATAAGAGAGTCAATTTGGTGCTCCTCATCTCTATATAAAGTTTCTCAAGAAATGATTAACACTCATCATTTGAGTCAAAGTAACTTGTTGAGTTGCTGAGTTTTCTTAAAAAAACTAAACAAAAACCAAATAAAATAATCGACAAAAAACCGCAAAAAAAAAACCGAACCGCAAAAAACCGCAAAAACCAAATCGCATAAAACCGAACGGTGCGGTTTCTAAACTTCAAAAAACCGAAGTTGCGGTTTTTTGTTCGGTTTTGGCCAAAAACCGCACCAAACCGCACCATGCTCACCCCTAATTATTTTAGCTAGGTAAAGGAAATGTGCAGAGATAACGATATCGAAAAAAGTGCCCAAGGTACTCATTAGGCTATATGGGCATATGCTGAGAGAGCCATATCACGATGTGAAACCCATCTCTAATTTGGCAATATTAGGGTTTGGGTTATGATATCTCCCGAGCACAAAGCATAACATATACAACTTGATAGAATCATATCTTTTTTTTGATGAACTAGAACTCTTCTCTAGTGATTGACCAAACACAATACAGCAACTCTTTGACAATTATTTGTCGGTGATTTTAATATCATCAATTCATTTTAGTATAATGAAATCTACAGATTAGCAATGAAGTTTAATTCTTGATTTTATTATAAGTTAGAAACTCGATAGAATCATATCTTTTTGATGAACTAGAACTCTTCTCTAGTGATTGACCAAAAACAATACAACAACTCTTTGATAATTATTTGCCGGTGATTTTAATATCATCAATTCATTTTAGTATAATGAAATCTACAGATTAGCAATGAAGTTTAATTCTTGATTTTATTATAAGTTAGAAACTTGATAGAATCATATCTTTTTGATGAACTAGAACTCTTCTCTAGTGATTGACCAAAAACAATACAACAACTCTTTGACAATTATTTGTCGGTGATTTTAATATTATCAATTCATTTTAGTATAATGAAATCTACATATTAGCAATGAAGTTT